AGTATGGCAGGGGTGGGTATAGGCTGCTGGGTCATCTGGTGCCTTTGGGAGCTGTGCTGCTGGGGTCTTGAGTCCTAGAACCCCAGAGACCCCATCCCTACCCCAGAAAAGCCAGGGGGCTGAAGAATCACCCTATTCTTTGCCTCTTTCCCCTAACTTGGCTTGGGGTAACAGTGCTGGGAAGGAGAGCATTGTTAGGCTGGCGGCCCCGGCATACACGGCCCTTCTGTGGAGGGCAAGGAGTGGCTGGGGTGGCAGCAGCTGGGTCTAGGGGTTGGCCAAAGGCTCCTTTCCCTGGGGGGAGGCCCAGGAAGTAGGCTAGGGGCTCGTTAAAGAGACAGCCCCTTTCCCCTGCACAAACGGGGCAGGTGCAATAGTGGTATTGTTGGTAGCATTGGGTGCCCAGCTGGTGGGGCAGTGGCCTCAAGGACTGTCCTGGGTCCTGGAGGTCAGGATTTGGGCAAGAAGATTGTATGAGGCCCATTTGCTTGGTGGAGAAGGTGGTCTAGACAGGTGGCATTCCTGGAGTCACTGGATTCCTGCCAGAAGCCCCTGGTGGCTTGGGGACCCCTGAGCACTGAGTGGAAGGGCAGAGGAGCATTTTGCACAGTGGAGAAGCCAGAAGGACGAGGGTGGCCCAGATGGTGGGGAGAGCTGAGATGCACAGAGCTAAAGCCCTTCCCACAGGCAAAGACAGAGCCCCTAGCCCCTGGTTGGGGTCAGGGCACTGAGTCTGTCACCACCTGGGCACTGGAGAGGTGAAACCAAAGGTGGGCAGGGGATGGTGACAGCACTGGGGACTACCCCTGTTGGTCCTAGGTCTGTGAAACCCCTCCCCAATGCCTTGTGTCGCGTACAGTTTTATGTACCAATAGGCGACATTTGGCCCGAGGAGACCCCCTCAAACCCAGCCTGACCCAGTCAGTGTCTTCCTAGAGGGGACCTAGCTGGTCCCCATCCCCCTACTTCAGCACCTGTCTCTTGGTAGGGGGAGGGTATATGGGGACATATTTCTCTCCTAGGGTCCCTGAAGGATGGTCTCACATCCCAAGGGAAAGGTCCCTGGGCATCCCTCACCTCTGGGGGCTCTCTAGGCCCTATCTCTTCCCTTGGGAGTCCCGGGGGACATGTATTCCCACTGGAGACCATGGGAGCATGTCTCCCCTCCTTCCCCAGGCTCTCTGGGGAGCCTGTTTTCCTCCCAGGGTTCCTGGGAGTACTTAAGGCAAGTCAGTAGTCTAGGGCCATCCCGTTTCCCAGAGAAGGGAAAAGCATGTCTGGGAAGGGATGTTTCTGGCCTGCGCCCCATCTCTCCCACGGGGTGTTTCTGCCCCGAAGCACTTTGGGATGAGGCAGGGCATCTCTGAGTTGTCTTTTCTCCTAGGGGCTCTGGAATACCTCTCTCCTGAGGGTGAGGCCTCTGGAGCCTTTGCTCCCTGGGCGGGGGCTGTCTCCAGAAATCAGGAGGCCTCTCGTTGGCCATGAGAAAGTCTCTTAAGGGGCGTCTCCACGCGAGACTTCTCTGGGAGGGGGGACTGTGTCTCGCCCATGGGGTTCGGGGCGGGGTGTCTGCCTGTGAGGAGAGGAGACTGTGTCTTCTCGGGTAATCTGATGGGGAGGGGGGCCGTGTCTCT